AGTAGCCAAACTGCTGTAGTGATAAATTAAAGGATTTTGATCTGTGATTTGTGTGTATATGCAAGCATCAGACCAAGACAACTATGCTTAATTTTGCAATCCTAGATTAACTTCTGTGACCTAATTGGATTAATTTCTTCTTTCTGCCTGTTTCAAAATGACTGTCCAGTCATCATATAAAAATGTTCTGAAATTACAAAAATAAGACAGTATTTTCTTGTTACTCTAAATTTAAAAAGTGATTTTTTTATTTCTCATATGCAGACTTAGCAATAAAAGAATAAGGAACTGTACTGGAATATGTATGAATAAAAGTAAAATTCTAGCTGACAGACTTTATTTTAGTGATCAGTTCAATTTAAAACCTCTCAAGCTGGAGGTGTTGGCCTCATTTTTTATTTATTGAAGAAATAAGCTCCTTGAGGCTTATCCCAGCACTCTAGCAGCTTGGAAGGCTGTTCCTCCTTTAAAGGACTGGGATAATATTTCTAGTGGCATTCCGAAAGTGAAAGCCATTTGTGTATAACTTTCTATTAACCTGAAAAGGACACTGTGGAAAGCTTTGGAGAGAAACAATTTTTTATTGTAAAATCCACTGGAAGATCACTCTGCTTGCTGCAGGGGTGCAAGTTTCATATTTTGTTTCTTAGTGCTCCTTTAAAATTAATATTCAGAAGCTGAGTCGTTTAAAATTATGTGCAAAACAACAGTTTACAAAGGAATAGAAATTCTGTCCCCCCTCTTCACAGAATTTATGTTTTGTCTCTTAATTGACAAAACATGCATCTTTTATAAAGTGTAGTTGCAGGGAGATAGTGCTTTATGCCTCACCTCATAGAAATATGTGCCATTTGCAGTCATGTGGTGTACGAAATAAGTACAGGAGGCGTAGTACTTTGGAAGATTTGAGTATCTCAATGACATGGAATCTTGCACGAGATAGAAATGAGGCTTGAAATTTGTCATGCAGGAAATTAACCCATGAAAACTTCAGAAAGCTGATTTATATGCTAATACGTTTTAAAATGCAGTGCAAGCCACTAGAAGAGTGTGAAATGTGAGGGGGGGTGGGAGGAGTGGAGTGGTGCAGGGGGGCATTTCCAACACTGCTTATGGCATCTGGGAATCATGCTAGCTGTGACTTTAGTTTTTACCGATAGAAGCCCCATGGGAGAGGAGAGGGAATTATTAAAAAGATATCTTCTAAAATTGTGACATGTGGGAAGAAATCATGGTTTAATACACAGCATTTTTCATTTGGAAGAATCTCAATGTACATTAAAAATCTGATTTGTAGGAAAACTACAAAAAACCAACAAAACTGAAGCAGAATCTGTGCAGAGCAGTGCCATGGAACAGAACCTGCAACCTGATTTCTCAAAATCAAGAGCAGAGTGATGCTTAGGTTGTGTATCAACACAGCACAAAGGTGGCCTTGCTTCTTGCTATAGGTTATTAGATGCTGCTGTGATGCTGAGGAAGGCTGCAAAGGAAAGGAAGGAGAGAGAGATAAGAAACAGGAGGAAAAATTAATGAACAGGATTCACAGACCAGGAAATAGTGAAATGAGGAGGAAAGAAAAGTGATTAAGTAGGAAAAAAGTTGAAATTAATCTTTCTCCCTTAGGTCTCTGAGAAGAGGTTCATATAATTTTCTAATCATGTTTTTTTCCCACAGCTCATTCATGGTTACATCTTCTACTTACATCAGCAACATCAAAAGTGTACATTTAAGGCCCGATTCATAGAAGCATAGAAATTAACTGAGTGGGAAGGAGTAATTTAATCATGTAACATCATCTACGTGTGATCACCTACATGGGATTAGTAAAGATCCCCTAGCACTGTAAGAGGGAAAGGGAACTATGCTTGCAATGTGATGTACGTAGAGAATGTTAAAGAATAATTTTACAGCTCATGAACCTGGCATTTATCTAGACTGATAATTTTTTAAAAAAATATTATTTTTGGCCTCAAGAGAAAAACAGGTAGCAGTTATAAAGGGTGACTGTGTTGCATGGGACTCTTATGAAATACTACTTTTCCAATACAAGATATCACAATATTTACTGTGTTTCCTTAAACAAAAAAAGAATTTAAGATAATTCTTCATAGAAATAATTTGTGTGTGTAAACGATGAACACACACCAGCTTGTCTGTTATTGATATTTACAATGGTTAAACAATACATAGGCACAAGGACAATCTCTCCACTTCAGCTGGAAGCCTGTATTTCACCTCAACACTGCAATGCTCTTTACTCTTTGATAACTGCAATTGAAAATAGAGAAGTGGAAATAGAGCCCTTAGAAAAGATTGCTTTATTCTTTTAACATATTCTCCTCAATAAAGTCAATTTGTCGTTGTTGTTGCTCTTGTTTCTTCCTTGTACCTCCAAAGGACAGAGAAGTAAGAAGTGATAACTATGGAAAACTGGACAGCTCAGGTACATGGCAGTGAAGTCTGAATAGTGACAACCTTTTAAGTAAACTTGGTGAGACGTGGGCTTTGTTTTAAACCTTTTGGAAAGTTCAATCCCACCATCTATCTCCATTCAGGGAGATGAAAGAAATTGATCTCATGTGCTGGAAACAGCTAGGTACATCGTTGTGGTGAGGAACCCACAGCTCTAAAGGGATGTACCTGAACCAAATCTAAGTGGCTCGGGATATACAGAGCTCTTAACATGTTTTTGCTGTGTTTAGGATGTGCTGTGCCCAAGAGAGAGAGGTAGCTCACCCTGGGAGATGGCGTAATCTATGTGGGAAGGATGGAGAAAAAAGGACAGACAATACATGCATAGTTACTCCTCTACTGCCCATGTTGACTGTTTTCCTTTCAGGAGTTGTATCAGAAGTGGTTTTGAGAAGGAAAAAAAATCAGCTGCAAGGAATAGGAGAGTGTGGCAAGTGTACGGAGGTGGTCAAGACAAAGCTTGCAGAGAAGAGAGTTGAGGTTGGCACTGGCAAAAGAGCAGATGAGTGCAAATAGAGTTACCTGTGCAGGTACAGGTGCCTAAAAGTGAAGATACAGATCCACAAAATAGTAATATGAGGGTCAATTTTAATATGGAAGAAAGGGAACAAAAAGAAAGGTACAGAAGGGAGGCGACAAGATAAAAATAGCAGGTAAAATAGCATTTGAAGAGTAGGTCTTTTGGGGAGGGAAACTGGTTGATGGATGCAGTCTTCAAGGCTAGTATGAACTCACTCCAAAGCACTGGCTGCTTACACAGAGCAAAAAGCTTCAGGATATGGCCTGGACACATATAAGACAGAGTAAAATCTGACAGACTTGAACAGCCACAATCATGGGAATTCTGATAACAGTGTTGAGATAGGGGGAGAAAACAGGGGCTTGCTCTAGTAGGATCACAACAATTTAGGGATTAAACAGTCAGAAACACAAAGGCAGGATAGGGAGTCAGGCCTGTAATGAAAGACAACTTTGCAAGGGGACCATTAGTGAAAATAAGGCTCTGAGGATGCAAGATGGTTTAGAGAGGCTATGGAAAATGGATGTAGTCTGAAGACCTTGGATACATCACTAAGAGCTTGCTGGGAAGAGCTTGTATTGCACAACATAGTGTGGCTGGGCCAGATCCAGGATAAGCGTGAAGGGGACTTGCCATGGACAAGTCAAGAAATGTCTCCAAACCATTTGTAAAAGCAGCAAACACTTAACATAAGAAAAAAAAATGTTGTCAACCAATGGTGCCAGACCAGCAAAAGTTTTTATTCTCATGAGAAGATAGGTGACTTCTGATCAAGTTAAACTGTTTTAAGTAACCAATCCTCTATATTGTTCTTTACTTTGATTGTGAGCATGGGCAAAACATATATCTTCATTAGTCTAGTGGCATTTGTTGGAAAACACAGCTCTGTGTTTAGCTAATGACTTAATTAGAAAAGCGGTAGTCAGTTGGCAGTGAATGGTGAGTCTTTATTTAACAGGGAAGCACGGAAATTAGCCATCCATCTGTTTTTTCCTGTTAATTACCTCTAAATATTAAAATTGAATACAGCCTTCAACCTGATTGGTAGTTTGAGTGGTAATAGTGGAGTTCAGATACTAAAAGGAAGACATCAGAAGAAATGAAGATGATGCAGCACCTGTATTTTACAACTTTTGTACATATTGCTGAAGCACTTTTACCTACCTAGGACAGCTGCTGTGGAGATCATGTTCATCATTTCTGGCCCTTCAACCATACTTACCGCTTTAAATGAGCATCAGTCTTGGCAGCAGAGTTAAATGAGCCCTTACTTTTCCACAAGAAACACGACTGCACACCACATAGCAGCAGCAGTGCCAAGCTGTGGGGTTGGTGCCACTTGGAGGTTTGTTTTTAGTAGGGGGGTTGGACTAGTTGGCTTCCAGAGATCTCTTCCAACCTAAATTATTCTGTGTGCCCTTAGGAGCAGCAGTCAGAGCTGGCAGCTTATCTCATTTTGTTGGTTTTCCACTCTGAAACACCTTTCACCAGCATTGTCACTCCCACCTCTTTCTTTCTTCTGTCATAGAATCATAGAATCGATTGGGTTGGAAAAGACCTCCGAGATCATCGAGTCCAACCCTTGGTCCAAATCCAGTCCATTTACTAGATCATGGCACTCAGTGCCACGTCCAATCTGCAAAGACCCTTCTGCAGCCCACAGCTGAACCTTAGCCCCAGTGACAGCCCAAGGAAGCTGGCTGGAGTATAGCTTCTGCCTCATCTTAGCTGAGTGCCTTGGGGTGGCTCAGACTGTCTGCTGGGGCAGTCTTGCATATTTACTCTTCCCTTTCTGATCATTATTGCAGCTAGGCACCCTTGTAGAAGAGCAGGAAATGACTCAAGAGACACCAAAACCTACTCTCTTCTAGCCAGAACTGCTCATATGTCCTGTCTTCCCTGTCATATTCACCTTGTTTCAGGAAATTATGCCCAATCCTTTTCTTTGATAATCATTTCCATTGAGCTTGCTGAAAGAAAAAATACAATTATTCTACAGCACTTCTTAACAATACTACATTTTATTTTAATTCCCAGCTATTTTTTTTTTCCTTAACAGCATAGGTACTCTGGGGAGCTGCTTTGGAAGCTTTAGAGATAGGCAGGATAAGAACACACTTCCCCAGTTTCAATCAACAGTTTCCACCTCCAACAAGCTGCAAAAAGGAAAAACCATACGGGATCTCTGTGCTTCCTCACTAAAAAACATTTTCAGTGACTGAGATTAATTTTTCCCTCTTTTTAGGTATTAATGTTAGCTAGAAAAGATTTCCAGTTGTTTAAGTCAGTGGGGTAAGATCAATCAATACATGGGGTTGTTCACTACAAGGCCCAGGTGAAGTGTGACACAAGTGAATAATATCATTCCAGAACCGGCCAAAATACAAGGTCTGAAGAAATAAGGTTAGTGGTATTAAATGTGTGACCAGTCAGATGTGCAATTAGTTTCACAAGTGTGACACTTGCTAGCTGCATCCTCTCAATTCCCAAACAAACTGCAGAGGTGTCTGCCCAACTCTTTTCAGATAAATCTGGAATATTATATGAAGACAGTCACCTAAACAATTGCTTTGGAATAAAAAATGAGATTAATTTTCGGATGCAATGAACTGAACTTTGCTTTCTGTTTTGGGAGTGTATTCCTGAAGAAAGGAATAGTTTATTCTGCTACAGCCCAAAGTGGAAATGGTGGTAATTTCCCTTCTAAGTGGCTGTTACAGAATGCCATTCAAAGTAAAGATTTGTTGTTTAGCTGTCATGATCATGAAGTGTTTATTAATTTTTGAATATGTATTTATGGGGTTCAGTTTTACAGTGCATGACAATTTAGATGTTTGATTCTTAAATGGAAAAAGTATAAAAGTGAATACCGTTGTTTGCTTCTTGAATCATTGATTACAAAAATGTCTTAAACATCAGTATCTAATAGTAATAATATCTCTTTTGTTGTTTCATTTCTAAAAAATCTTTTCCTTTGTAGAATAAATTTATTTCAAACCCTTTACCATGAATAACACTAGAGATTAAAAAAACAGCATAATGAATTACAGGCTGACAATAAGTCAAGCAAATAGGCAAACACAAAAATCCCTTTTATCAAGGGAAATGGTGACAAAGTCAAATTATTTTGCTCAATTTTAAGGCTAGGAGTCATGTCAGCATCATCATCTCCCAGTATTTTTATGTATGTTCCCGACACCTGATAAGCTTTCTAAAGGCCAGCTTGAAATCCTCGTTGAAGCTCGTGTACAGCAAAGGGTTGATGAGGGAGTTGACATATCCAAGCCAGGTCAAGAAGTCCGCTACTTCTGGAGAGACAGTGCAAATGTGGAGGCCCACAAGCAGTTCCTTGATGAAAAAGGGCAACCAGGACAAAATGAAAGCACCTAAAATCAGCCCCAAAATGCGAGCAGCCTTTCGTTCCCTTGTCGTGGAGATCTGCTGCCGGTCGCCAGCCAGGTCCAAGTCATTCTCGAAAGGTGGGATCCTCACGGATGCGTTGATTTTATCAAACTCTGTGGTCGGGTCAGACGTGGAAAAGTCCGAGACGCAGAATGTCTGTGTGAGCTTGCAGCTGGCAAAAGAGTTTTGGCTGTCTGTGCTCCTGTTGCTGAGGTGGCGGCTTGAACCCCGCTTTTGGTAAAGGCTCTTTGCAGCGTGGTAAATTCTGTAGTACAGGATCAGGATCAAAGTCAAGGGTATGTAAAATGCCCCAAATGTGGAATAAATAGTGTAGATTACATGATCGTGCTGAATGCGACACTCGCTGGGAATATTGATGCTGTGGTGATTTCTCCAAAACAAAGGGGGCATTGATATGAAAATGGAGATAGCCCACACGGTGACTATCATCAGCCCAGCTCTCTTTGCCGTTCTTTTCCTGGCGTATTCGATAGCGTCTGTGATTGCCCAGTACCTGTCCAATGCAATGACACACAGATGAAGGATTGAACATGTGCAACAGGTCATGTCGACGCTAAGCCAGATCTCACAGATGAAGTATCCCAAAGTCCATTTATCTATCATTATGTAAGTGATGCTCAAGGGCATGACGAGAACAGCAACAAGGAGATCTGTCACAGCTAGTGAACATATGAGATAATTTGCCGGCTGGTGGAGCTTCTTGGTTGTGGAGATTGCTGCAATTACAGCAGAATTCAGCAGCATAGTCAAGGTTGTGATTGTGGCCAAGGTCAGGGTAACAAGCATCTTTTCAGTTACTGTTTTTGGCTTTGCAGCCCCACTGGCTTCAGTGGTGCAATTTGTGAAATTCATTTTCTCCTCCAGGATGCAAGAAGGTGCTGCTTCAGGTAATGAAGGGTTGCAGGTTCAGAAGTCATCCATTTAGAGAGATGTTCCAGGTGCAATTTTTTTTTATAATCCCATATTCAACAAAGCAGCAAAAAGCTTCCAGGTTTCCTCCTATTCATTGTTTTCCTAGAAGATAAAATCACATCTATTAGTCAATCGAGGATAATCCCACCTTTTGGTACAGAGTTCTACATTTCTAACATTACTATCTCAAATAAAATGTTGGTGTGGTTTTCCTTCTTCTCTTTTCACTTGCCTTTTCTCCCCCCTTTTCTCTGCATTCATGGTTCTCTTTTTTCCTTCTCCAAAGGGCACTTTGGGCCAGATTTCCCGATGATATGAAATGGTTATTCCTTCTTTGGTTTTGGAGATTTTACTTAAAGTGGGAGGTCCCTTCTCACAAACATGTCTGTAATCTTTGTGAATTATTGATACCAGGAGCTAGTCTTTTTCCTGCTTGTTAAAATACATTCCAGCAGATGAAGAGCTGAGGAAATTTGCCTTTTCATTTCAATTGCTGTATGAGAGTCATCAATTACTTCTATGTATCACCTTTGAAAACGAGCAGCAGAGGCATGCCGGCATTTCACAGTTTTCCATTCTGCTTTTTCATATCCATGTCTGTATTAATATATTTGAAACTGTGCTTAAAAATTTCTCAGGTTACCTTTATCATGCAGGTTTCAAACAATGTTTAAAACTTTATGGAGAATGCTTAGTTTTACACATCTCATCAGTGTTGCTAGGAGCTTATATAGTTTTGTCTAATTATTCCTGACATTCCACATAGCTCACCGTGAGCATCTTTAAAGAAGACAGACAAAAAGATTTTGCCATTGCTTTGAGATTTCTATCTAATTGTGCTCCCTGTCAAGGAGCCCAGTGTGATGCAAGGTATGAATAATAATTAAAAAAAACCCCAACGTTTAATGCTGTTTCAGGAGTTCAGATGTCTTTTCCATACATCCCAAATGCTGATTGAAGCCGTTTAGCAGTCCATGAGATGCAACTTGGGATATGCTCTGGGGCTTTGCTTACTCATTTGTAATTTACCTTGCAGAAAGGATGCAGAAAACTGAAAGTCTGAATCTTTTCCCATGAAAATAAACAGAAAGATTCCTTCCCCTGTGATGCCTTAAGGTCCTTTTAGTTTTTTGGTATTTCTAATTTTTATAAGTCTTATAAGTAGTTATACAGGAGAAGTAGATTTTAGAAACAGCAGCATGTACTCCTTTACCCTTTCCCTTACCCTTAGCATAGCAATTACACAGATTCTTAACCCTATTACCCCATTCCATGCTCCCCATATCAAATATCCCCTGAATTCCATTAGAAATGTTTAGTCTCTTGTCAAGGTAGGCCTATTCTGTTTAGAGAACACTTGTACTCTGGCCTAAACTGCAAGATGCAGCCAAGAGCTGGGTGAATGTGTGCCCTTTGTGCTCTGAGGAAGACTAGGGGGACAAAGTAGGTGATCCCAAAAAGACCCCAGCCTCAATTCCCCAGGTGTGGACTGGGGGTGGACCAGGGCAAAAGCCAGAGGGTGGGAAAACCTCGGATTGGACAAACAGTGTTACAAATTGTAAGCACCTGAGGCAGAGGCCATGTGTGCGTCTTGTAACCCCATGCCTTGGAGGCACGAATTAAATCCTTTTCTTATCTCACCTCTAATTAAATTGCTTTGGAGTTTCATCACCTGGCTTCTTTTATCAAAGAGTAAGTAAGCCTGTACTGGTTGTACAGGCTCCCTCAACAGGCAGGGGAATAAGATAGTGGCTGCCAGAAATACACTCGTCCCCTCTCAAGACAAGTCTTTAGGGCAGATGTTATGAATCATGTCCTGGAAATGCTGATTGTCTCTATTTTGACTACAAGTGGCTCCTCCACAGTTGCATTTAGAATACACGCCAGATTTTTAGATGGCTAAATTTGAAAGGTAAAACCCATTCTCACTGACACCAGTGGGACTTGGATTAGGCTCCGAGAGAGAGTTTGAACGTGGAAGCTAATAAGGAATTAAGAAATTGAATGAGAAATTATGAATTTAAAGCTAGTCAACTGCTTAGCTCTGTGTACATACGCTCTTATTCAGAAATTGGAGTGCCATCTTCAGAATGAGCTGAATGAGGAACAATCAAAAATAGAAACTTTAGAAAAAACTGCTATTTGTGGATAGGCTCTAGGAAAGCTGATTTGTATTTTTATAGACTCTGGATTAGCAAAATGTCAGTTTTAAATTCTGCCCAAGGAACAGCAAAACCACCTTCCCCTAAGGCAGAATCCACTCTTAAGAAACTGCTTTAAACTGCTTTGAAATATGAATAGCCTCGGAGAAAATATCAAGCCTGCTTATTAAAAAATGACTGGAGAAGTCAGATGGAAATCCATCCATCAGTCTTCAGGACTGGAAATGGCAATTTGACTGTTTAGGCCTAAAGTCAAAACTTCAGCTCAAACATTTTCATAAATTGTTCATGGGAGTCCTCTCTGTCAAGCCAGATCCTGATTTATTTAGTTTGCACCCTTACTATGTCTGATGTTTTGACCAGAGGATAAGGGTTTTCTCTACTTCCCTAAACTCCCGGAGAACAGACTAGAAGCAATTGTAATTAATAAACTTTCCTCAGCATTATCACTTAACGAGTGTAACCCATCCACAAGCACACCGGTCCAAAGACACCTGAAGACACCATGGGATTCTCATGTCTTCCACAACCACTTACTGAGCCAGTCCACCCACAGGAGAGCTCGTGATGCTTCTTGATGTAAGCAGCATTTCTTTTTCCTGTCCTTCACTTCTCTAGGGGCTCTGAAGTTTCATGGTCCTGGCACATCTCCCCATGCTGTGTGTTCCCCACCATTTTCTCTGCTGAGCACTGTCTATATGCATCTTTAATCCAGGAGGAGCTGAATTGCTGTGGTTCTTCCCCAGGATAGCCTTTCCCACTGATGCATCCCAAGGGAAATCCTTTCTAAGCTCTATCTGTTCTCTGTACCACAAGGATACTCCGAAAAATAAATTCTTTCTTTCCTTAATTAACCTGTCTTTAAACAAACTTAATCAGACCAAGCACCAGGTTTCCTTTAGGATAAAGGATACTGCTGATGAAATGGGGGAGTTTGGTTGTTTAAATCTGCACACTGCTCAGTGGGGCCAGCATTTTTTTCCTTGGAAAATCACTGCAATAATTGAAGACAGGGAAAAATATAAACAAAACATCACCCTTGCAGAACACCAGCCTACAGGTACCTCAGATCATGCAAGGCCATCGGTTTATGGTCAAAACCCATCACTGGGGAATTAATTCAGTTTTAATTCCCAAGCTCCTTATAGGAAATGAGCCCTTAGCAATTCAAACAACATAAATACTACATACAAGAATGGTATTAAGCCAATATTAAGAAAGTATATTTAAATGCTGAAAAGTCACTTCAGTTTTTAAGGGATGAAGGTTTCTTCTACAGCTTAAGTATGTGCCTCTTGTCATCCCTTACCCACTTCATGAGGATACACACTGGCATTATAACTAGTCAGTTATAATTAGTTGACTGTAGGCTTTGTGGCTCCTTTCACCTGCTCTTCCACCCTGGCTGCTCCTCTTTCCAGGCCATCCTTATTTCTATATGATCTGATTCCAACTCCTGCCTTACAGAATGCACAGGGTCCCATAGCCCCGGCTGTTCGCCTCCCAGCTCACCTCCTGTGCTGGAGCAGCCTCAAGCTCCCTTGACCTGCTGCTGCCAACTCACCCACTACTTCTAGGGGCTCGGCCAGGGCTCGTGTCGAGTCTCCCACAGTGCCTGTGTCCCAGCCTTTCCCTCATTGTCCTTGCTTGTCCAACTGTTCTCTCTCTACTTTTGAGTCAGATGGTGCCTATGTGGAGTATTTTGGCCCAGAAAAGAGATGGGGTTTTAAAATGGGAAGTGATTTACCAGGAGATGTCAACGACTGACCTTGCTTATTAATGCAGTGCAGGATTGAAATGCTACTTATCATTAATCTTTAAAAATGCAGGTGTGTTTGTGGTCATACCACATGTGTTAACAAGGAGAATATTACTATCTCTAGTCAAGAATAGCTGGTTTCCAGCATTTCTATCACCTGTGTACAATTGCTATATATAGTATTGCTATCACTATAGTAATTGATTGTGGTTTTCTAAATGACATCTTGGAAGGGACATTAACAACAGTTATTTAAAGTACTCTCATGAAAAGCACTGCCATGTTTATGTTTTGCAGTTGTGTTCCTTTAGGCTGTCAGTCATTTCCTACGGAGAGGATTTTACACACACAGATTAATTTCCTGCATTTGGTGAGAGAAACTCATCTGGGTTACTCCAAACGGGAATCAATCAATCAGGTTTCATATTAGATGATTATTGTTAATGGCGTTGAGTGCTGTCTAGGAGGAAAAAAGGGGAAAGAGGTTGATTAATTGTCCCTTAAAAGCAACTGGACAATTTTAAGCTGCGAGATGGCAATGTCCATGTCTGCTCCTGCCAAAAAATATCTCCCACTTTTCCACAGAGGACCATGGTGTAGCAGCATAATCTGAATTTCTGCTGGACACACTGACTCCCACTCCTCGGCTACTGAACTTTTCACCATTTCATAAGACATGGAACAACATCACTTGCAGAGAACAAGTGGAACTGGCACTGCACGTGTATGTGCAGCACAGGTTAGTTCCTTTACATCCATGGTTCTACATTTTCTCTAAACAATTATGGCACTATACAACTGCTACATCTTTGTCCCCTTGACAGCAATAAACCAATTTGACTTTGTTAAAGTCTGAATTGGTCTGAGAGCTTTACAATTTCAATATTTCCACAATTGTAGCTGTGAAGGACAAGAATCTGTGGCATGATTTGTGAGACAGTTTATGGAAAATATAACTTAGCACATTTATGATAATGCTAATATTTCAAACTATGGAAAGACGCTAAACTTCCAATGCTCTTCCTTATTATCTCAAAGAGGTTGTCTCTTCCAAGTTCATATACAAAGCCTGAAATTCAGGCCTTCACGTCAAATTTATTTTGCAAGATCTTGCAATTTTCTAGATCATCCTGCTTTTGTAAAGTCAACAAATCTTCTTGGACTTCATGGTTTCTTCGTAG